CACATGGTTTATTTTGCCAGGAATGACAAATTGAGGAGGAATGGTGTTGCATTCATTGTCAAAAAGAACATATCCAGATCAGTCAGTTAATGCCACTATAATAATAATTTACGTACCAACCAGTAAAGCCAGTGAGGATGAAATAGAAGGATTCTACCAACTTCTTCAATCTGAAATTGATCAAACATGCATTCAAGATGTATTGATAATTACTAGTGATTGGAATACAAAGTTTGGGAGCAAAGAGAAAGGATCAGTAGTTGGAAAATATGGCCTGGGTGGTAGAAATGATACTGGAGAACGCATGATAGAATTCTGCAAAATCAATGATTTTTTTCATTTCAAATACCTTCTGTAGACAGCATAAGAGATGACTATACACATGGGCTTCACCAGGTGGAATATACAGAAATCAAATTAACTACATCTGCAGAAAAACACAATGGAAAAGCTCCATATGATGAATGAAAACAAGACCAGTGGCAGACTGTGGAACAGACCATCAATTACTCATATGCAAATTCAAACTGAAGCAGAAGAAAACGAAAATAAGTCCATGAGAACCAAAATATGACCTTGAATATATCCCACCTGAATTTAGAGATTATCTGAAGAACAGATTTGATACATTAGACAGTAAAGGCTGAAGACCAGAAGAGTTGTGGGATGACATCAAGAACATCATACATGAAGAAAGCAAAAGTCATTAAGACACGAAAGAAGGAAAAGGTCAAAATGGATGTCAGAAGAGACATTGAAACTTGCTCTCTAGTGTAGAGATGCTAAAGTAAATGGAAGAAATGAGCACATCCAAGAGCTGAACAGAAAATTTCAAAGGTCAGCTCAAGAAGATAAAGCCAATTAATACAACAAAATGTACAAAGATCTGGAATCTGAAAACCAAAAAGGAAGAACAGCATTTCTCAAGCTGGGGGAACTGAAGAAAAAATTCAAGCCTCAACTTTCATTATTGAAAGATTCACTGGGCAAATTATTGAATGATGCATAATGAATCAAGAGAAGATGGAAAGAATACAGAGTCACTGTACCAAAAGGAAATAGTTAATATTCAACCATTTCTAGAGGTAGCTTATGCTCAAGAGCCAATGATACTGAAGGAGGAAATCTAAGGTACACTGAAGGAATTGGCAAAAAACAAGGCACCAGGCACTGATGAAATAAAAATTGAAATCTTTCAAGAAAGTGAGGCAGTATAGGATACACTCACTCATCTCTGCCAAGAAATATGGAAGACAACTATCTGACTGACTGATTGGAAGAGATTCTTATTTGTACCCATTCCAAAGAGAGGTGACCCAATGAAATGCAGAAATCATTAGAAAATCTCTTTGATATCCCATGTGAGTAAAGTTTTACTGAAGGTAATACAGAAACGGCTGCAAGCATACATTGACAGAGAACTTCCAGAGGTTCAAGC